GATACAAAAACCCTTACAATCAAAACCTATTCCAAGTCACTTATCACAATGATACTTGCTTGGATTACAGCAGTTAAAACTATACAGCTCCTAATTGATCTTCAGTCAAAGAGTTACTTTGCAACCAGCATTCCTGTTGAATATATATGCAACTGTTTCTTCAGTTAGGGTTTCCACAAAAAGCTAGGGTTAATTAGGTTTAACCTTAAGACTTGGTCACAAGACTTTATCAACCAGATTAGGGTTGAGCTAGGTTAACCCAAAGTCCACGTGAGATTCTGTTCTGGAAGGAATGAGCCAACTTCCTGAAAAATCTCAGAATTAACCAAACTGCATATCTGTTAGATCAGTACAGGATGTCTTAACATTTGTTATGACATCAGAATTCCTGTTTACTGATTTTGGTAGAAGGCAATAAATGTGATCATTGTAAAATGCTCAGATACACACTCATAAACAGTAGCTACTGTATGCCATACTTTTTCTGCATAAAGTACCTAATAATCCAGAATGTTATGACATCAGTCATGACATTTACACACCTGGTTTTACCAAAAATACATGCCAATAACTAAACACTTACATCCCTACTCAAAAATGATCTTGGAGAGTTCTTGGACATTTTTGGAAAGCTTGAAATATGCTATATAATCCATATTTGAAATGAAATTTGATATACCTCTTTGAACTAGGTGAAAAATGTCCATGAAGTTGGGTCCAAAACCTGCCTAAATTAGGGCAAAATTTCACTAAGTTATTTAGTTCATGGCCCTATATTCACAAATTCATAACTTGAGATACAAGCATCTTTAGGGAAAAGTTTGTGAAGAAAAGTTGTAGATTTCATGGAGGACTACAACTTTCATGTTGGGAAATTTTCTTGAATCAAAATGCATCATGCTGAAAAAGTGGTGAAAAGTTGAGAAAAAATAAGAAAATTTTTATACTTAGAAAAATTCTAAGTTATGAAAATTTTCAAATTAAAACCCTAATTTTCAAATTTGGTTTTCTTGGTGAAAAAGTTTCACATTTTGACATATCTTGATGAATTATGACCCTTGGCACTTGATTTTGACCAAAAAATCAAAGTTTGACTTTTCAGTGTACAATTGACTTTTGATCAGTTGACTGCAAAATTCATTTGTCAATCAAATGAATCTGAGATCTTTTGAACCATGTAATTAGGTAAATATGATGCCATTGAACCCTTGAAATCATGTTTGAACTCAATTGGTCATTGGCTAGGTTAAAAATCAGAAATTGCCCTTTCTCAGTAAAAACCCTAATTTTGACCATTTTGCCCTTTTGATGATTTGATCAAATTTCTTGAGGAGTTGTGATCCAAACTTGATCAAATGATACATATGAGTCTAAAATGTTGTTTTGGATAAAAAATTATGAAGTTTGACTGTAAATTGGCCATGGTTGACTTTTCCCCAATACAACTGATTTTTAGGTCAACTGTCCAATTGACTGATCAAAAATGTGGTTCAAGGCTTGAAACTTATCATGAGCAATCTTAAGGATCCAAAATGATGTATGAAAGTCACATGAAGCATTGGTGATCCAAAAATCTTTGTGCAAACTCAAACCCTAATTTTGGGTTATCAGTGCAAGATGAGGTGTCTTGAGCTGACGAAACCTTAATCCTGTCTTGAGTCCAAGAAGTCTTGTGAGAAAAGTCTTGATAAATGAGAGGGAAAATTTTAGGGTACAACAGGCTCTGTAAAACTTCTCTTCACACTAGCAAATTCTTTTAGACTTATTTTGGTCTGGCCCATGTAGAATTGTTCATGGAACAATCTTTCCAATTGGTTCCAATTGTGGATCGAATTGGCTGAGAGGGTGGTGAACTAAGTGAAAGCATTCTTTGTTAGGGAAATTGGGAAATACTTGATTCTAAGATTTTCGTTATTTGCTATTTCCCCGGTCTCTATCAAATATCTAGCCACATGTTCGACAGTGGACTATGTCGTATCCCCTGAAAACTTAGTTAACTTTGGAACCTTTCCCCTAGGTGGTAAGTCTGTTTGCAGAATATATCCTGACAATGGGGATGTGAAGTTTGGTCTGTGAAAACCAACGTTCATCCCGTTTTGAATCATAATCCTTTCGATCACGGCAGTTAGATTATTGTTTGTCCCATAGTTTTGGTGTCGAACTTGCTGTATCAATTCATCAGCGTTTTGATTTCTATCAGCCATAATAACTCCTTGATCGATTTCTCTAGGGTTTCGTGGTATTTCAACCCTTGGTTGTTCTATTTCTGCTCTAGGAATTTGGGGGTTTGGATTAACGGTCAAGTCCTCTTCCATGATTACCCCTTGATTTGCTCTTATTGGTATCCTCTGGGGTTGTCGAACAGTTTGGGGTACCCTAAAGAATTCAGCCATGCACGTCATTTGCGCTGTCATCTGTTGATTCGACTGCATAGTAGTTTGAATGAGGGGGTTTAGCACTGTACTTAGAGTTTGTGCTAACATTTGTACCATATCATGATTACTTTCGTCCATCTGTTGCCTCAAAATTGCTGTCGAAACATTTGTGAGGCTTGGTATTGTATGAGATGGCCCTCCCAAGAATTGGTTTCTACTGGGTCCAGACCCCTGTAATGGTGATGATGCATTCACCAAAGGTTCTGAAAAGTGGAAGCAGCGTTCATATGGCTAGCCATTTCAGTAGTTGGCATGCCATATGGCTGCTCTCGACCCGTCCAGGTTGTCGAAAATCCCGGGGGCACAAATGGTCGAGATCCTAGATTTACCCTTGGTGGAGGCGTTCCTAATGGACCTCTTGGACCTACATACGAAAGTAAGGGTCCAGTTTGATTTGTGGTTAGCGTCGGTATTGATCCAACGGAAGTTGGGATATTCCCTTCGACAGCGGCAGTAACCACTGTTCCAATAATTGGTGGAGGTATTTCTCCATGATTTGGCTCGTTAGCCATACTACTCTCGCTATTTTTCTTCCTAACAGTATACTCGTTGGTTACTCTACCACTTCTTAATAACATGCAACGTTATAACTATACAGAAGAAACGCAATAACATAAACAATAAAAATTAGCAACGTCCCACCGGGTGTGCCAATTTGTTTACCGTGGTTTTTGGTAAACAACCGCTGATCCTCCATAAAGGAAAGTTCTTTTTGGTTACTCACGGGATCGATCAGATTGATCCCAGAACATATGCTAATTTTTTATGTAAGACAAGCAATCAGGAAAAACGCACGTTCGACCGGAGAAAAGACACTTGAAGATTTTGGAAAAGTAGACAGAAATGTAGAAATGCAGGTAAAGATGCAAGAAAGATAACTTTGCAAGATAAGATTAAAGCAATGTAAAAGACTTTCATTAATAAAAAGAGGTGTTTCCAACGTACATTTCTCAAGTTTATCCTTTCTCACACAGCGGTTACTTGGACAATATTTGAGTGACTAGTACAATAGGTTGAACACCCTTAAAAACTACGCAGGTTTCCTAATTTATACTAAAAACTAAGTAACCGTCGAGGGATGACTCTGCGCTAAGATGAAGACAAGTGTCTTCTGCATGTCCCTCGACCTATGGCTTTCAGCCACGTCGCTTCTTCTTAGCCGCTAGCGAAACTGTCTTTCCCTCCAATAATTCAAATTCAAATGTCCCTCGTATCATGTGTCAAAGCGAGGGTATTTTCTCTCAGTCGAAGGTCATAAGTTCTCTTCAATCGAAAAACCTGAAGGTGAGACCTGGTCGAAGGCTCAAATACAACTTAGATCTTTTTTCCTAAGTTATTTCATACGTCGAAACATTCTTCTTGGCTTGGTTTATTCCAGTTTTTTTGTCTAAAAGGCCAAATATAGTAAGTGTCGAATTTGAGAGCCAACAGGCGCCTTCCAAAACCAAGAACAACAAAGATAGCAAGCAACAAAAGGAAACATCATCACCTGTTACCCAGATTTCAAGGTCATTCCTGGTAGGAAACCAAGAATATGTTCCTAAATCTCCTCTACTCGAAGAAAAACGCAAAATCTATCAATCTCAGGTACTTATTCCTCTTACTATCGTTGGTGAAACTCATGCGTATATGGATCCTTTGTCTGACCTTGACGCTGATGCTGAAAAACTCCAAGAGTTTTTTCCTACTTATCACTGTACGAAACCCATAGCTAGTAAGAAAAAAGCTTATGATAAAAATACTAGTGTTAAACCAGATTCTCAAGTACAAACCATAGATGAAAATCAGGCAAAGTCTTCGACTGAAGCCTTAGAGATAGAAAAAACCTTTTAATTTTGATTATATGAGAAATGCTCTTAGAGCGTTTTGCTTTTTTCCCTTTATTCAAAGACCTTGAACCTTACCTCGCTTGACTTGCCAAAGTCAAGAACAAGAAAGCCCAAATCTGGAAAGGCATGGAAATCTACAACATGATTCAATTTTTGAAGGTTGGGCCAGGTTCTAGTCAAAACATACTTTTAGCCTATCTATATTTTTGGGATAATTCTCACAATATTTTCAATTTTCCTTGCGGAATGATGACTCCTACCCTCTTCGACGTCGTTGCGATTAATAGTCTTCGACCAATTCGGGAAGCCTTTGATCCTTATGAAATGGCTAAGGATACCATTAGCTTTGATGCTAGTTAAGATAGCCTTACCCATACATGATTGATCACCATAACAAAACAAATGAGAAAGTTTCTGACCAAGAACACATTGCTTTTCTAGCTCTTTGGTTATTGCTTGTATTTTCTAGTCCAAGTTTCTTCAAGTGGCGAAAAGATTCCTAACTTTGGTGAATCAATTGCATGTTGGACGCAACATTTGCCTAATCTATAATATAAGAAAAGAATAACCCAAGGTTAAACCTTATTTTCCCCTAGCTTAAAATTAACCATTGTATAATTTGAGGGATAAATCATGTCTAAAATATTGTTTTCTAACTAAATGGTTGTTTGGAGAAATAATTACATGTTGTTGTACGCTTAGTTATGTTTTGAAGTCCAAAATATGATTTAATAACATGCCATCTCTTCCATATGCAACATTCTCCTTACTTTTTCTGATTTGTTTATCTCCTTTTCCGATGGATTGTCCTTTCCAATCTAATGTTGTATTTGGGAAACCCAAAACATCACTTCTACCATCAACCCCCACCGTCTCCCTGCTCTGCTATCTTCTCGTCACTTTCCACAAAGACCTCTCTTCCTCTTTCTAAAATTCTCTCTTCCTCTTTCCACAAGAATCGTAAATTCATTTATGTTGAACAGACTACACTCACAACTATATCTTAGCTGATTGCATTTTCTTTTAGGATCTTGAATGATGAAGTTGAATATGTTCATTGTTTGTTGTATTGCAGACATTCTTCCAGCGTTGGTGGACAGAATAGAATGATGATAGTAGTATCCTTCAGATCATTAAAATTGTCCCTTGATATAGATATTTTCTGGCCCTTTCCCTGAGAATGATGAACCTCCAACAAGTAATTTCTACTTTTAAGTAAATGGCTAATCTCCAATTGTTCAGGTAAAATCTGAGTAAGAAATAGTTGTAAGGCTTATTAGTTATTGATTGAAAATAGCTGTAAGGCTTATTAGTGTTTTTTTAACTTGAAGGACGATATCAATTTGTTCGATTACAATGTCCCTGATCGAGTAAATGATTTTGTCTCAGCTGCACTATCACATGTATGCGTTATAGAATAAATATTTACTGTTATTCAAATGATCAAAGCTTTGTCAGACAAATTTTATCTACTATAAAGGTATCAGACATGCTTTACAAACAATTATCAAGAAAGAGGGATTATTTGGGCTTTATAATAGACTTGGAACTACACTTCTGATATGCTGTCATTATCAATTTCCCATACACAAAGTATATATTCATTTCTTGTGTATTTAACTGCTTGTATATATTAATGATGGCAGGTGAAAAAACAAAAAGAAATATGAGTGATAGATTGTATTTTGGTCATGAGTTTTGTTAATTTTTATTAAATATATCAACCATATGTGTGTAAAAGTATGTTTGCAAAACATTATGATTTGACAGATAACCCTTGGAAGGTCTATTTGTTTTTTAAACCATAGATTCCGATTTCAAAAGCTTTTATATTGGATTTTAGGTCTAATTAAATGCCATAAAAGCTTATTTTGCGATGTTGAATTTTGTCTGAAGCTGATAGAGGCAGGGGCAGTGGGAAGAAGCGAAGACGGTTGAGTATTATCGATGATGAGGTAGATGAATACCAGGAAGAATATGAGGACGAGGATGGTGATTACAATGTCGGTGGAAAAACCAGTCCTAAGCGCCAGTACAGGAAACTGGAACCCTTCATAGTTTAGTGGGTAATTTTTTCCCCTCAACATTTGACTGAATGACTGGTTTCTGTTGAGGACTTTGATTACAAATTGATAGTCATGCTTAAAATTGTTGATATTTTTGCTTGAAGTTGATTGTGTTCTGAGATCTCTAATTTATGTTATATAAATTGGTTATGAACCTGAATTATATTTTCTACAACCTTCACTATAATAAGTTGATTGGAACTCTTTTGTCATGCAGAGCTGAATGTCATCTTTGATCTATTATGTTATGGGTTCATCCTAAAAGGGAAATGGTTACGAAAGATGCTGAAGTATAGGTATGGTTCTGTTTTGACAATATATACATTATCTCATTTATAGAGTTGGATCTATGAAAATGCTTCAAAATAATGATTTTATCTTCATTTATAGAGATGGATCTATGAAAATGCTTGAAAATAATAATTTTATATTAATATTTGTGTTCTGTTTTGCTGCATAATTTTTAAATATGTTTCAGTTTGTGGGTGATTATTGTTTATAAATGCCAGACGCTGAGATTGTGGGTGATTATTGTTTTTCTGCCTCTGTACTTTGTTAAAGTTGTTGATGATATTACTTTGTTTATGATGAAGGTAAAAACATGGGAATAACTGTTGAATACTTTTTGCACCTGTGGAAAGCTTGAGTTGGAGCTGATGTACAAAGTACAGATGCAGAAAAATGAGGATGCTAAACTGATGAAACTATTCCTTGAGATTATTAGATCTATTTGTAAGCAGGATGTGCTGGCTGAAGCTACCATTCTCCATTGGTTCTGTAAATAACTCTTTCTGAGACTAATATGGATAGTAATTAGTACCAATTTTTATGCCTACATTTAAATCATTTCTCTAATTGTCTGCATACCAGCAGCCTTAATTGTGAGTGAATTAATAAAAACTTTCATATTTCCTATGAAATTTGCTGTTTTTTTGGCATTGTATCTTCAATAATTTTCACTGTGATATAGCAAAATAAAGTTGTGATATGATTTTTGTTGTTTTCAAATGGACTGTTTGTGGAAGACTGGTTTTTTATACAGATGGAGCTAAAGGACTTAACAGAGAAAAGGTATTGATTTTTGCATTTATAGGCAGGACCATTTTTACTTCCTTGCTTTTATTATTAATTAAAGTGTGAACGATTCTATTATGTTTACATTGGCTTCTGTTGTGAAACTGTCAATTCACACTTTAATGCAATTTTCACTTGATTACCAAGGATGCAATTATTATTATTATTATAATTTTCACTTCAATGCAATTATTATTATTATTATAATTTTCACTTCAATGCAATTATTATTATTATTATTATAAGCAATTGTTCAGGATGCAAGCTTATTTCAATTAATATATCAGATTGCATTAAAGTGAAGATAAACAGAAAAAGTAAACAACGAAAGAGAGAGAGAAAAAAGAAGTTGCCCCACTACTTTCAATTAATATATCAGACTGTAATTTCTGCTATCACCCCTTTCTATGGTGCCATCACTCTCTCAGATGTCGTTTATCTCACAAAATTAAAAAAAAATAATAATAAAGTCAAACACTCAACCAATTTATTAGAATACTATCTATATATAGTCTTTTTATTGCTGTATATAAGTGTAAGCTTAGATAGAATTAATAGATTCTTATCTGTAATATTTCTGTTTCATTGGATAACAGAATTCTGTTTCATTGGATAACTGAATTCTTGGCTCTTTCTTTCATCTCTTTCCATGAGCATTTCTTGGATGTCCATGGCTTCTTCACCTTGCTGGTGTGTTCCCATGGCCATTATTCACATGGTATCAGAGCTCATATAGCTCTGGTAGCCATCTTTTCTTGCTTCTCCGTGATTCTCTTCTTTCCCTTTTTTTCTCCTTTGAATCACGTTTCTTTCTCTTCTCTTCATTCATGGCGAACCAGAGCTACGCCGACTATACTACCAATTCTGCAAATCCGTTTTACCTCCATCCGAACGAGAATCCTTCACTCGTTCTTGTTTCACCTCTTCTCACGGACAAAAATTACCATACCTGGGCGCGATCAATGCAGATCGCTCTGATTTCAAAGAACAAGGAGAAGTTCATCGACGGTACTTTTCCCAAGCCACCAGTATCCGATCCTCTGTACTCCCCATGGATTCGATGTAATACGATGGTTCTTGTGTGGATTCAACGATCGTTTTCAGAGCAAATTGCTAAATCAGTGTTATGGATTGATAATGCCTCTGGTGTGTGGAAGAACTTGCAGATTAGGTTTTCACAAGGCGATATTTTCCGCATTTCTGACATCCAAGAAGATCTCTACAAATTCAAACAAGGTACTCTTGACGTCTCAAACTATTTTACTCAATTGAAGGTTATGTGGGACGAATTAGAGAATTACAGACCTATTCCATCTTGTAGCTGTGATATTGCCTGTTCTTGTGGTGCCATTGCATCTATTAGATTGTATAGAGAACAAGATTATGTCATACGATTTCTGAAAGGTTTAACTGAAAAATTTGCTCACTCTAAGTCTCAGATAATGATGATGCATCCCCTTCCTAGCATAGACAAAGCCTTTTCCCTAGTTATTCAACAGGAGCGTGAAATTGACAGTTCAGTGTCTAGTGTTATCACCTCCATTGCTGCCAATGAGCAGGCTACAGCCTTGCAAACTCAAACTCATGAGGCTAATTTCACTGCTAAGCAAGGAGGTTTCCACAATTATCGTGGCAAACCTCAAGCCTCTCAAGGATCTAATACACCTAGAGGAACTAATAGGGTCTGTGTTCATTGTGGGAGAACAAATCATACCATTGAGACATGCTTCCTTAAGCATGGTTATCCACCAGGTTACAATAGTTATAAAGGAAAGAGTAAATCTCAGGGTGCTGCACACACAAATTCATCTGCTGCAAATGTGAGCAATGGCAGCAATAACACTGAATTTTCTTCTCAAGGCTCAGCTACTTCTTCATTTGGATTTACTAAGGAGCAGTATGATAGCATTCTTGCTTTGCTTCAACATTCCAAACAACCATCCACTGTCAATTCTGTATCTACCTCTCCTTTAGCTTTGCAATCCACTTCTTCCAATGTGAATGGTAAGCACTCTGATCTTTGGATCCTGGATACAGGGGCCACTGACCATTTCTCTTTCAATTTTGCTTCCTTCACTGATCATAAATACATTGTTCCCATACCTGTGAATCTGCCTAATGGATCTCAAATATTTGCTTCTATTTCTGGCACAGTAGCTATCTCACCTTCCTTTATTCTGAAAAATGTTCTTTATGTCCCTAGCTTTCATGTTAACCTAATTTCTGTGGCTAAACTTGTTGAGCACAACCAATTCACTGTCCAATTTACTCATAATTCTTGTACTATTGTGCAGAATCATTCCAAGGAAATGATTGGTATAGCTAAGCTACACAGGGGGCTCTATACTCTTGATTCTACAGATTTCAATTCATTTGTAAATAATTCTTCTGTTTCTCATAATTCTCCTTGTAATCTGTGGCATATGAGATTAGGCCACATCTATAAGATAGGTTTACATAGTATTGCTAAGGCTTTTCCATTCATCACTTGTAATAATGACAATGTACCTTGTGATTCTTGTCAATTTGCTAAGCAAAAGAAGCTTCCTTTTCCACAAAGCATATCTAATTCTACTGTTCCTTTTAACATTTTACATGCTGATTTGTGGGGCCCTTTTTCTACTGTCTCTGCCTTAGGACATAAATATTTTTTGACTCTTGTTGATGACTTTACCAGACATACATGGGTCATTTTTCTCAAAAGCAAAGATCAAACAAAATCTAGCCTCATTAACTTTGTAGCTTACATAGAAAACCAGTTTCAGACCACTTTAAAATGCCTAAGATCAGA